AGACCAGGTTTCACGGGTTAGTATCTAGTCATTGCCAGCTTTTGATGCTGTGCGAAACCTTTTTGTACAACGCGCGCGGTGGCGCACTTCACACCTGCCATATGCAGACATAGGAGCCCTGCTGTTTGAGCTCAAAGCTGTAAATGTCCTCCACGGCGTAAGCTAGACGTCTGGGCTGGTATGGTAGATTTGTTGACGCGAGTCCGTGGTTTGCACTCGAACTGCGTAGGGGCATATAGCTGGATTTAATTGCATTCTGACTTTTAAAGTCAAATCTTTCCACTTCGCGTTATATTTTTAGTGTCTGTATCATCTGTGTAGAGGTCTTTCATGTGACGTAACATGATGGGCAAAGACATGAAGCGCACCATGTCCGTAAAGGCGCATGCATTTTCGAATCTGTGTATCTGTTGGCAGTTTCATGTGCTCCATCCGTGTACCGTCGTAAATCACGTAGCTAAAAATCCTCTATAGCTAAATAACAGTTACACTCCTTTTCCAAGTAAAATGTCACACCTATGTCACCCGTATCAGTGCGGTGTGTCCTTTCAAAATGCACATCTCGATTTATTACAAAAATCCGTGCCTACGTGTATCACTTTCAGGCTAAGAAAATACCTCGCCAGCTCCTTTTTATTTAATAACAATACGTAATAAATAAGAGATGTTGTATATCTGTTTCCGTTGGAAGTGGGGGTCATGCCGGTGTTTTCCAGGAATCACGAAAGACCTGTAGGTCTGCAAGCCGGTAGCCGTCTCTCCAGGGTGCAGACCACTAATTCAAGTGAGAGTATCTGGCCAGCTCATTAGCATTAAAAGTGCCCCCACAGTGTTTTTTTTTTAAAGGAGATTGTTTGGCCCCCAAAATGGTGAGATTGTGTAAATCATTGCCAGGATCAACTCCCTGGGTCTTTGAGCTTTCATATGAGAGCAGAATGGCTAAAAAATACATTTGGAAAATGGTCCTCAGTGCCCGAGAAAGTTGAGGGTTGCCACTTGAAGTACGGCTGCAATCAGACTTCGGAAAAATCACTTTTTTGGGGGGGGGTGATTTTGTTTTGTGGGAATAATTAAAGATGTAATTGGTTAACCCACAAAAACTTGAAAAGAAATTGAAAGATAAGTGACCAGACAAGAAATTCAATTGTGTTTCAGAAATTTCAGGGATGTTTGCGTGCATTTTATTGGGCCCTGAACAGTGCTGATTTTACACTGTTTTCAATGGGGCCTGAATTAGTGGACTGTACCCTTCACGGGAACAAAACCACCTGAAGCCCTTGGAGGCTCTGTATTGATTGGATGTGCTGTGTGTTGCAATCCATGGGACTTTTCCTCTTATGGGTCCATCCCACTTAAAGGGGTCTGATCAATTCAGAACTCCGTTGAGACGACCAGGCCTGGTCGTATTACAATTCCAGCCTTTTTTATCATTCAATGGACCATTTCATCTCCTTGTGAATTATATCCGTGCTGTCATGGCGCATTCCACTTGCAAGGCAATAAACCTAATTTGATTGAATAATGCTCATCTGAGGAATCCATGAAAACTGATATCCTTCGTGCGTCTTTTGATTTCTCATTGTACCATGTTGGTCGCCCGCTCGGCAGTTATAAATGAAGGGTAAAGTTTGCCTTTCTGAGCAATCTGGCGAAACTCTGCAACGGCTGTACGTATTTGAATTGAATGACGAGTCGAATTTGTCAAAAAGGAAATTGCACGGCTGAATTGGAATGCCCGAATTCCTGAAACGGAGCGCGGGAACGACGGCATTTGTCGAACCGCAGCCATACGGAAGCACGTAGATGGAAATTCAAATGCCAACGAAATGAATTAGGCCCGGAAAACCTATATTTACGTTAGATAGT